CTGGGGCGTGCGGGGAGACCGCGAGCGGGGGGCGGGGCTAGGGAGGCTGGGCGGGACCCGGAGCGGGAGTGGGGCGAGGTCGGGGGTCCGGCTGGAGCCTGCTGGAGCGCTTGTTTGTGTTGGGGGTGGGGGTCGGGGGTCCCCGGGAAAGAAAGGGTGGAGCTCTCTCCTGGGAGGGCTCAAAAGCCCGCTCACTCGTTCCTGGGGACGGCCATTCTCTCCATTCCCCCACCCAGGGTCCCCGTCGGCTAGGGGCACCTGTCTCTCGGAGGGGGCAGAAAGGAGGATGCCTCTGGTCCTTCCTCGCGGGGAGGCGCCCAGCCGGCGCCCTTGCCTCGCTCAGTGTTCCTCCCCGTGGGGCACTTCACCTCCCACCCTGCAACTTTTCCATCTCATCCCAAAGAGTGTCCTTTGTTAACATTTGTGGGCCAGGTTGTCCCGGAATATTGCCAGGCGGTGTTTCTGTAGTGAAAATTGATTCCTTGATGAAAGAGAAACACCCTTTACTCCCACTTCTAGGACTTCCCCCCTTTTTAATTCAAGGAAACTGAGGATGGTAACCCAGCCCAGCCTGCACCAGCTGTGTGAATAACTTCACAATGATGGGGTGGGGGCAGGAAGGCATGGCTCAGAAGCTCTGACCCTCGCTCCCTCCACATCCTACGGAGAAGCCTTCCCTTTGGGACTTCTTACTTCCTCCCTCTCCAAATTCTAGAAAAGACCCCGTCCATCTCCCCTCTGACCCTCTCCCCCCACCCCCATCCCTTGTCTCTTTGGTATGAGAAGTTCTCCCTGATCTCCAACTGCTTTCTTTTCTGCTGCAGCCGTAGCCTCTTGCTCTATTCTAGGGAAAGGCCTGAGTTGGTTTTTTTTTAAGGTGGGAGGATGACTGACCAGAGAGGAGGGTCCCTCCCCGCTGCCGGAGCGCAGCGGAGCGGGGGCCGGGTGGTGATGGCTGACGGGCCCTCCCCACTCTCCCTCCAGGGGGAGCTCCTGAGCCCCTGCCGCTGCGACGGCTCAGTGCGCTGCACACACCAGCCCTGCCTCATCCGCTGGATCAGCGAGAGGGGCTCTTGGAGCTGTGAGCTCTGCTACTTCAAGTACCAGGTCCTGGCGATCAGCACCAAGAACCCACTGCAGGTGAGAACCCACTGCAAGGAGAGACTCAGGGACTGGGGAGGGCCTGTCAGTTATTGGAACCAGGGAGCCTATTTCATCTCATTTACTTTTCCCTAAGCCATCCCTCCCCACCATTACCGCATTCTCCTGTGTGTGTATACATCTTTCCTTTATTTATTCACAGACATTTATTATTGGGTGTTCCCTGTATTCTAGGCACTGGGACAGAAAAAAAAAAAACAAAAAAAAAGGAAAAGATGATAATGATGATGATAGCAAACCTGTAGCATTTTCTGTGCATTAACTCAGTGTACCTTTATAATAATCCTGTTAGATACCATTATTGCTCCCATTTTACAGAAGAGGACACTGATGCACAAAGATTAAAAAACTTGCCCAAGGTTACCCAGCCTGTAGCGATGGAGTTAAGATTTGGGATTCAGGCCGGGGCCCCTCCCTATAATCTCAGCACTTTGGGAGGCCAAGGTGAGACAATGGCCTGAGCCCATGGGTTTGAGACCAGCCTGGGCAACTTGGTGAGACCTCATCTTTACAATAAATGAAGAAAAAAAAAATTAGCCAGATGTGATGGTGCATGCCTCTAGTTCCAGCTACTTGGAAAACTGAGGCGGAAGGATCGCTTGAGCCCAACAGGTCGAGGCTGCAGTGACTGTGAGTGTGCCACTGCACTTCAGCCTGGGCGACAGAATAAGACTCCAACTCAAGAAAGAAAAAAAAAGATTTGGGATTCAAACCTAGATGCTTTGACTTCAGAGCACTTGCCTGGTCCCACCTGTGTAAAATAAGGGGGACACATGGGGTCAGACAAGTGACATGCTCTAGGTTTTATCAGGGCACAGAGAAGACAGATGTCAATCCTGCCTGAAGGATTAGGGAAGGGGCTTCTGGGGCATCCTCTTCCTCAGGGCCACATGTCACCTCGCCCTCCACCCCTTTCTGTGACCTTTGGAGCCCTTTCTCCCACGCAGTGGCAGGCCATCTCCCTGACGGTCATCGAGAAGGTCCAGATTGCTGCCATAGTTCTGGGCTCGCTCTTCCTGGTTGCTAGCATCTCCTGGCTCATCTGGTCCTCACTCAGCCCTTCAGCCAAGTGGCAGCGGCAAGATCTGCTCTTCCAGATCTGCTACGGCATGTACGGCTTCATGGATGTCGTCTGCATAGGTGAGGGCGCCTGTCTCTCCCTTACCTGCTCCACATCTTCCTCTCACACACTTGACTCCCCTGCCATCCCCTCAGATTCACGTTCTTATTTTCTGTATTGGGGGCCTCTAGGGTGGTCCTGGTGCCCCTCCCTTCCCTACTTCTCCAGGGGCCTTTCAGCTGTATCTCCGCCCTGTGAAGAAATGCTCACTTAAGTACCTCTGGCCCTGGCCCAGACCGCAGCTGACTCTGGCTTTCTTATCCCCATTGCTCAGGCCTCATCGTCCACGAAGGCTCCTCTGTCTACCGCATCTTCAAGCGCTGGCAGGCAGTGAACCAGCAGTGGAAGGTCCTGAATTACGACAAGACCAGGGACATAGGAGGAGATGCAGGGGGAGGGACGGCAGGGAAGCCGGGCCCCAGGACCTCACGGACGGGCCCCCCCTCTGGGGCCACCAGCCGCCCCCCGGCTGCCCAGCGCATGCGGACGCTCTTGCCTCAGCGCTGTGGTTACACAATCCTGCACCTCCTTGGACAGCTGCGGCCACCAGATGCCCGTTCCAGCTCCCATTCTGGCCGAGAGGTTGTCATGAGGGTCACCACGGTCTGAACTGGACCCCAGGAGCAGGGATCTTGAGTCATTGCGTCAGCCAGAGATGAGCTCTCCTGGCTGCTAGAGGTGCCACCCGGACAAGGCGCTTGGGGTACACCGCCCCACCACTGAGGATCTCTGGGGGCAGTCTCAGCTGGAGACATTGTCTGGCCTCTACTGCCCACGGGGTGGAGACATCTGGATGCCATTCCAGCCCTCACTGACAGCTCCTCACACTCATCCCGAGATGGCCGGTGGGCAGGTGGGGAGAGCAGCTTTCCTTCCCTGGAGAGAACCGTCTTTACCTCAGCTCCTAGGGCCTCCAGCCCCCTGGCTCCGCCACAGTGACTTGACGAAGGGGGACCAATGCCAGAAGAGAGGGGCCGTAGACCCCCAACCCCCACCCCACGGCCACAGGGCATCTGGCAATAAGACTAGTATACATTGACCTCCCGTTCCCTGCATGAGGGCGGGGGACTTCCCCCTCCACCCCCCATTGCACGGGGGGAGGGCATAAAGAATCATTTATATGCACGTGGAGACTCCTCTCTCATCTGGGGCTTTTCTGCAGGGTTGGGACGTGTGGGGAGGTTTCTCTGCACGAGCTGCAAATCCCAAATGCAGCAGGGGTTCTGAGCTGGAGGTGTGACTCCCACTTGCTGGTGAATAATTCACGTTGGCTGTTAGGTGGCAGTGCTCAGAGGCATCTAAGGGGTGGACCTGCCACCTGCGAGTTGTGTGATTTAGAAATAACCTCCCAGTGATGGTTTTCCTGTCTACCTCATAGGGTTGGAATGAGGATAAATGAGGGACAGGTTGGATGCCATTGCAAAGAAAATTGGTAATGGCACAAAAAGATTTCTAGACTAGTTGATGGTTCATTTATTTCAAATAGTAGCTGGTGTAACAGATTCCAAAATGTGTTTTTCATCTGGAATTGCACAGAATCTTGGAATTTTGTTTTGGGTGACATAATAGATATGGAAATGTGAAGAGAAATAGACATTGCAAATGTGAAGGATGGTGGTTATTTTAAGAATGAGAATTTCTCCGGCTATCTAAATATTGGGGCCTTGGGGCTGGGGATGGCTGGAGCCATCCATCTTGTTCTGGAAGTAATCCAAGTTCTGTTAGTCCTTCCCAGGTTCTGCATTCACCCAGAAAAGTGGTTTGAAGTGAATCTGGACTCCTTTGGAGTGAGATGCAGGGAGCCCCCGCAATGTTATGAGTCTCCAACCCCAGGTTAGCCCATTTGTTTGGTGGTTGAGGGTCACAGATCTGATCCTGGTGTGCCCAGCTAGTGGTATTAATGGAAGGAGTTGTGCTTAGAGACAGCAGCATAGAGGGCTGTGGCTGACAGAGAAAAGATTTGGAGAGGACTGGAAACATATGGGTCAGCCTGACACCCAGTCCCTTTCTCCTGAGGCCTTGGGGCTGTGTATTATATGAATGATGATGTCTTTTAAGTGAACTATTCATCAGCAATTAAAATCATTCCTTCATACATGGCTGAAGTCAGATCTAGAGGCCTTTCTTATTGTTGGTCCTCCTTTCAGGGAAGGTTCTGCTCTGCCCCCCTCCCTGGGGATGTTTTGGAGACAATGCTTCTCTAAAGGCCCACTCATCCCTGCTCAGGAAACCTTGATCCCCTCTCCTTGCCCAGACCGGGCACAGTCACTGTCCATGGTGCTGGCACCCACACGCCTCGGGGAGTGTAGGAACCAAAGCAGTACCGGGGTCCAGGTCACCTGGAAGTGTAGAAGCTTCTAACCTCTTGGGTTGGAGTGGACAGGACACTGAGGCCAAGCCCTCCATTTTCCAAGTGGGAACCGTTCCCCAAAGAAAGAACCCTCTTTACTCCCTTGGGGAGACAGATGGGCCAGACTTGACTGATTCACCATTCACAGAAGAGCTGCTGAGGACCAAACGGGAGACAGCAAATCAGAGTGGCTACTGGTACCTGTGTTGGAAGGCAGGGCTTAGGTAGATAGGACACGTGTGGCTTCCTGGGCCAAGCCTGCTCTGTCCCGTGATGGCTCCAGATGGAAGGTTAGACAGACCATTCATACACAGTCTCCGTTTCCACTCTGGGTCCTAAAACCAGGCCCAGTGAGAGAGCCCTTTCCCCTCTCCTTCAGCACCAATGGGGATCTTGGTAGGGGGTTGGGGCCAGCAGTCAGAATGGTCTCTGCTCCTTCCCTTTTTCCAGCTTACAGAGATCCCTGTCCAGGAAGGGGGTCGTAGGAGCTGCTGCCCTCCTCAAGTGGGCATTCCTACTTGCCTGGTGGAGAATGGGGAGTGTGATTCCAGGGGAAAGGGTCTGACGGCAAGCTGGGCTTTATTCTCCCTCAAAGCTCAAATCTGCTAAAAATCGGGCTATTTGGGTTCAAGTGGAGCTTAATGATAGGGAAGTGGGGGGTGGAGCCTGAGTGTACAGAAGAGGAGTTGCAAGGAGAGTCAGTAAATGCATAGAAACCATGGTCTGCACCAGGCAAGGGGGAGCCCAGCCCTCTGTAGGTCTTGCATCATCAGATGCCCCCACAGAAGGCCTGGTGGCCAACAGAGTTCCTGTGGTCAGGAGCTATGTCTAGGGCAGGGGGCCGAGGTGTTGTGGTGGAGGAGGAGGAAGTGTGCAAAGAAATCTCCATTCACACCCAGCTAATTGGAATGGGGAAGTGGGCGGGGAGCAGGCCGGACAGGGTAAAGGGGGGCAAGTCCTGACATGGGGAGGGTAATCTAGGATGCAGAAGGAGCTGCTCAGGGTGTGCTGAGAGATTTACATGGATGGAAGATGAGTTGATTGTACACCTCACAAGGGAGAACTGTGCCCAGCCTCTGGGGGGCCAGAGAGTGCTGACTCAGGGAACAGAGGCTCTGTCTGCCCACTGCCCTTCTCCTGCCTTGGTGCCCCAGGGCTTCTGGCCACCCCCACACTCGGGTTTCATCCTGTCTGATTCCACTTTTCTGCCTGTATTCCTGTCTTCCTCTGAAGGAAATTATCTTGGAGCAACTTCTCCAGAGAGGGTGGAGTGGCCATTCTAGGACATCCTTCGACCCTGGTGGTCCAGGTTCCAGAAGCACGTCTAAGAGAGCCAGCAGCTGCCGCCCATCTGCAAATCCCTAGCTCCAGACCCATTTCATAGCTTAGGAGTTACTTTTCACCACCACCCCCTTAATTTCTTACAGGAAGCCAGACTGGGCTTGGCTGTTCCCATTGCCGACAGAAACGTGTCTGGGTTTGTGTTACAAGTCATTCTTCCAGGTGTCCAGACCTCCCATTGTTAGGGAGGTCATCCCGAGGACCTGAGAAACCAAGGTGGGAGATGGAAGTCAGGGTCTTGCCTCCAGGTCTCGTAGGAAGTGGGAGTGGGAAAAAAGTAAGTTGAAAGTCAAGAATGGGACATTTGATATTTTAATTCTAAAACATGAATATTAAAAAATTTCCATATAAGAGAGACAGAGGCCTGGACAGGGGCAGGCCCAATGTTGTTTCTTCCTGGGAGCCAAGTGGTAGGGCAAGACCACTAAATAGTGACCAGAGAGCAAAGGAGGAGAGTTTTTAAAAACTGTAAGCCAGGCTAGGGCAGATTCACCCTCGGAGGGGCAAGATGAAGGAAGGGGGTTGACAGAGCCTAGTAAGTCACTTATCCCTTCTGCGATGTAGTCCAGATTTGATCTGAGAATGTGGATGGTGTCACCCAGTCAGAGACAGGCCCTGGCAGGGGATATAAAGACCCAGTAAGGCCTCAACCTTCTTCTCAAAGAGCTTACATGCGAAGAGGAAGGACCAGTCAGGTGCAGCCCAGATGCACAGTTACTTAGCCCAGGCTGCAATAAATCCTTAGCCAGCAGCATCAACGATCGCTAGGGAAGCACTAAAGAGCGGTGGTTGGATCCTTCCTCAGGGAACCCAACATTATGAGTTAAAATCTGCATTGGCCCTTGAAGGATGTATATGACCCAACAGACCGGGGGAGGGACCATGTCTTCTTGGGGCCTACTGAGTCAGGCCAAGTGCATATGTCACACACTAGTCAGGGCTGCCTCAAGCACTTTGCTATGGCCATCCTATCTGGGTTGGTCAGACGAGCCTCAGAGAAAATTGTGTCTCTTGGCCTTGTGTCGAACAAACCCCTGTGACGAGAGAAAGGGTGATGGTGATGGCCTCTTTCCACAGGACTATCTGTCTACAAACTGTAGGTTGATGCTCCTCTCAGGTACCAGGACAGTCCGGGTCATGGGTCTGATTGGGGCAGCACCTGGCTCTGGCTGCACCTCAAAATGGGTCAAGATCTGGAAAAGGAAGAAGACCATCACTATGCAAGGGCTTTATAATGGTAGAATTTATCTGTAAAGGGTGTTATTAGTGTTAGAATGGTCCCTGCTGGGGTGGCACCTGTGCCTGGTAGGGAAATTTTTGGTTAATGAAGGAGAGAAATTACCAGTAGTGAAAAAGATATTCCAAGTAAGCCAAGTGCGGTGGCTCACGCCTGTAATCCCAGCACTTTGGGAGGTGGAGGCAAGAGGATTGCCTGAGCCCAGTGGCTTGAGACTAGCCTGAGACTTGGCAATTTTGCATCTTTACAATAAATCAAAAAAGTAGCTGGACATAGTGGTGCATGCCCATGGTTCCAGTGACTTGGAAGGCTGAGGCAGAGGGATCACTTGAGCCCAGCAGGTCGAGGCTGCAGTGGCTGGGAGCATGCCACCGCACTCTCCAGCCTGGGCGACAGAGTGAGACTCCTATCAAAAAAAAAAAAAGATATTCCAAGTACACTCACACACCAGGCCTGCAATGGGATCATCAAGTTTCAGAGGATTCAGCCTACCAAGTCTTAGACGTTTTCCTATGCTGGTCTCAGAGAAACGAGCTCACAGCTTTAGAGGGTCAGGGTCTCTCCGAGCCAAGGGTGCCTCTGGGGAGGCCTATGGTCTCGACACTCACCTGAGCCAAGGCCATCTGCAGCTCCAGCTCTGCCAGGCGTCTCCCCATGCAGCTGCGCTTGCCGAAGCCAAAGGGAAGTGAGGCAAAGGGGTGGGGGGCTGGGCCCTCCCCCAGCCAGCGAGCTGGACGAAATGAATTTGGCTCTGGGAACTGGGCAGGGTCCCTTGAAGTGGCGTAGTGGCACAGCGTGACCAGTGTCTGAGGGGGGGAACACAAGCTTGTCAGTTTGGGTCTAGAAATGGGGGGAGGGGGACTCAAGAAGAGGATATGGTGGCTGGGACGAAGGCAGGCCACAGTGGGTGATGGGAAAGGTTTCTGGGGCTACTTTTGGAACGATTTCGCCACCGCCCCATTATGTCCCAGAGAGAGGTCAAGGGCAGAGGGCTTAAGAGACTTCTGAGGGAGTGTTTAAGAGCAGGGCTGGGGCCCGGGATAGTAAGGAACGGGGCGCATAGGCGCTACTCACATTTTTGGGGATAATATATTCACCCACTTGGATGTCTTTGTCTGGGACACGGGAATTTCCAGGTACCACAGGGTACAGTCTAGGATGCAAAGCACAGGGATGGAGACAGCAAGGTGAAGCCAGTGGTGGCAACCTCCTCATCGCCTCCAACTTCCAAACCCAGTTTTGGCCATGGTGGACTACTGTGTTTCTTTGCTGGCTGTCCTGGCTCCATCCACTGTCTTGTTTCCCCAGCCCTTCCTCAGTATCTTCCCTAGTTCCTTCTCTCCTTCCCCCTCACCTCAGCACTTCCTTGACCACCGCCTTCATCAGGGGCAGCTGGGACAGAGTGGTGGCGGGGGTGTGGGCACAGGAGCCAGGGCCCAGGGCAGCTGCAATCTCGCAGCGGAGTGCCGTCTGGACTTCAGGGTGCCGGGAGAGCTCATACAGAGCCCAGGAGAGCGTGTTGGACACCTGAGGGACACGTGAGCGCATCAGAGGGACTGGGCTGGAGTGGGGGGGGCAGTGTAGGGACAGAGCACAGCGTAGTCTGGGGCCAAGGGTGTGCTAAGCCAAGCTGGTCTAGGTGGCCACAGCGGATTCCCTGCAACAAAAAGGTGGACCCCATGCCTGGGGATGCAGAGCTCTGAAAGTGGGGCTCAGGCCTGGAGGGAGATCCTCACCGTGTCCACTCCCGCCAGCAGCAACTCTGTCACATTCCCCAGGATGGACTGGGTAGGCAGCTCTTCCCGGAACAGGAAGTGGGTCAGGTGGGCCCCAGACTCCATGTCCACCTCAGGCTCTCCTCGGACCCTCGTGGCTACCTCGGCCTCTCGCAGCTCCACGTGCCGCTCAGCTGCGGGAGAAGGCACAGGAATGTCTCCCCGCCCCTGCACAGCCTTCGGGTCCCTCACTCCCACCTCGTTTTGCTGCCCTACCAAAGGCAAACATCTGGTCCCAGTCTCGGCAGAGGCGGCTCCGGGGCCCGGGCACAAGGCGGTGCAGCCAGCTGGGCATTGCCATGGTCAACAGCGTGGATACGAACACCGAGCCCACCGCGCGGATGAAGGTCTCCGTGTCCGGCGGCACCTCGGCCTCCAGGCAGCCCAGGCGCGAGCCAAGCAGCACCGCGGCGATGCCTGGCCGGGAGGGGGCGCGGTCAGGGCTCCGGGAGACCCGGCGGGACGCCCCCACCTCTGCCTTGGGACTCACCTTCTAGCCCAAACTTGTAAAACTCTCCCGCCACGTCCCGAACGAGGGCGGGTGGCCCGGTGCCACGTCCCCGCTGGCGCCTCAGACGGCGCACGAGGTCGCGGACCACGCCGTCCAGGGTTTTGGTGTAGCGGGCGGCCGCCTGAGGCCGGAGGAGGAGCGGCGCCAGGAGGCTGCGCAGCCTTTGCCATTCTTCGCCTTCCCTGCAGGTCGCGGGGAGACGGGCATCAGGGAGGGGGCGTGGGGCCGGCTCGACGGAGCCGGCTGCCGCGAAGAGGGCGCGCGTTCGGCTGCGTGGCTGGGAGCGGGATTGCGTCTGTTCCCTGGGGCACAGAAGCCTGCCCCTGCCTGCCGTCCCCTTTCCTTTTTACTCACTTCCTGCCCCGGAGGGACTTGGGTTTCTGGGCAACCTGAGTCACAGAATCTCATGTTTCACCCAGATCCTGGTACCCCAGCCCATTCCGCCGGTCCCCCCAGTTCCCAGGAATCTGGCCTCAAAGAATAAGGAGGTGGACGGGGGGCGCAACCCGAGTCTGGGTGAAACACTTGGTGGGAACCGCGAGGTGCCAGAGGACAGGGGAAAAGGCCAACCTCCCTCCGAGCCCGCAGGTGGACTGCTGGGGACCGCGCAGGAGGGCGCCCGGCGGGACGTCTGGGTTTCCGGCCGAGAAGACTCACGCGGTGAGCAGTCCGCAAGCCCGCTGGCGACGGCGACGGTGCTCGGCCCAGGACGAGAAGCTGCAGCGCTCGGGCCGGGGCCCCTCCTGTCGCAGCAGCTGCTCGACGAGCGCAGGGGCGGCCACGTACACGGTGCGCACCGTCCCGAAGCTGGCCAGCCACACCGGCCCGAAGCGCGCGGCGCCCTGCACCTGGGGAACGAGCGCGGCGGACACGTGGAGAGCCGGGCAGGGACCCTCAGCCTGGCCTGTGCCGGCGCCCACGGCTTTGGAAGGGGGAGCTTCTGCCCTTGCCCGAGCACCCGGCCAGTGTATGGCCTTGATGATGCAGACTCCGCCTTTCTCTCATTTCCCATCCCTTGAAAGTTTGAGTGTTGATGGGCAAAGCAGAGGAACCTGGCGCCAAGCAGACGCTCAGGACCTCTCTGATCACCTGGGTCGAACCCAGGCGGAGGCGTTCCTAATGGCTCCACACCTGGACTGTCCGCCGCGGGTTCGTCCCTAATGAAAAGGAGCGCGTGTGGCTTTAAGCCGAAGGCGCGCGGAGCACACTCCGCTTCCACCCCTGCGCGCACACCCTGGATCTCGGGGTCTCCAGACCTCTGCACAGCGAGGCGCCTCCCCAGCGCACTCCCCTGCTGGACGTCGGTCGGGATGGCTCGAGCCCCCGCCCCCACCTCCCTTACCCGTAATTCGCGGGCGTCTGTTCTCACTGGCCTTCCCTCGTTAGTTCTGCACTAGGCTGCCCTTTCTGCCGTTGTCAAAGCCAGCTACCTCCGAGAATGGCGTCCTCTCATACCTGCAACTCGTGTAGCCTCGACAGCCCCCCTTTGCAGAAAAGTTCGGCCAGGAAGCCGGGCGTGGAGGGGCCTGGGATGTCTGCCAAGCTCCGGGGTGCTGAGTCCCCTCGGTAGCTTAGTGAGGCACTCAGCTCGGGAGCCCAGCGGACGCGATGGAACACCCTGGAAGCAAACTTGAGGGTCTGGGTCATGGTGTGCCTCAGGGAGCTCGCGAAGGAGAGCGCTTCTCCGGAGCATTGTGCCTGAACCCCTATTTAACCTTTGGGCGAAGTGACGACGCCCCCTCTCCAAGCTCCTCAGCCAATCACTTCTGAGTGGTCTGTGCCGGGGATCAGCACCCGGGAACAGTAGGCGGGGCTGGGGCTGACTTAACGGCCCCCTTGGGTCTCATGTTGCAATGACCCTCATGGGAGGCGAGTTATTCCTCTTAGACTAGTGCCCTAGTCTAGCATCCTAAAGGCCCAGTCCTGGGAAAGGCAATTCAGCTTGGATTAGGTGATCAAGTACAGGAGTCAGTCCCTGAGATTCCCACCAGTTGTGGCCCAGACGGCTCGGGCCCATTCTCAGGAATTCCCCATCCTGCAGCTCCTCCGGGAAAGGAAGCAGGCAAGAGGCACAGCTGTCCCTGTCCCCACATTCTTGGCCCAGCGGGCTGTACCTTCTCTGGACGATTTTCCTGCACTAGCCACATCTCCTTCTCCCCTGTCCCTGATGCCGGGGGTGATGGCAGGTAGGTTAATGGTCTAAATGGCTCCAGGTGCCTTCCTCTGTCTTCCTTGGGGAGGGGGTCTCTTAGGTCACAAGCCTTCTCCTTCCAGTCATGGGAATTCAGGGCTTGAGGAGCAGAAATAAAGGAATTTTTTGCAAATCTGTAAAGTCCAGAGATTCTCTCCGGGCTACCGGATGGAGCAAGGGCTAAGGACATGTTCCAAACCCCCAATCGACTCAGTCTCCTCTGGGGGCTTTCTGGTCAGCAGGCCCTTTCCACTTTCAGCCTCAGGATCCTCCACAGTTTAGCTCTCTGCCTCTCTGCTCCTTATTCCCCCACTGCCCACTCGCCCCTAGCAGGCTCTGTGCCAGTCAGCTCTGAAGTTCTGGAATCGAAGGTCATCATGAAAAAGGAGAGGGTCTCCACCCCTGTACCCTCCCAGGGACTCTCCAGAGACAGCAACAATAAAGCGGGCAGACTCCCTAGGCCAAGTCTTAGGCAGGGGGATGGGAGGATGGGAGAAGGCACGTGACACATACTCTGGCCTTTCCTGAGAAATAGCAGAATGGGCCCACGTTATCACCGGGACTGTGAGGTAACACGAGTGGACAGGTGATCTGAACCTAGCAGGTAGTTTACAAGGACAGCGTAGCACTGTGTTCTTCCTCCAGCTGAGGCGAGGTCTCACAAGAAGGGAGCCCTAAGGGAAAACAAGACCCCACACCCTTCCAAAGATCCCCTGGGTCCAAAGTCCTTTGAGCTTCCCAGTCAGCTTTTGTTTTCTGCTGGCAGCAAGGGATGGACAGATGAGGTGAGAGGAGCCAGGGTAGTTGTGAGCACCAGGGTTCTGTCTTAGGCAGCCCCTCAGCTTCTTTTCAAGATTACTGCTTCTTGGCCCCAGTAGTCTCAGTTGAAAAGGCCTGGGGTCCTGATTTTCTTCCCAGTCCCTGGAAGCTGGGGTCCAGCTAAGAAAGAGAGGCTGAATAGTCAGTGCCCGGGCAGGGTGGGATTGGGAGTCACTGCCTGGAGGGTGGGATCCTGTATTCTTCGGAAGATGGCAGGGAAATTCTTTCCTCCATTGCGTAGAACTTTCTTTCCCTCCTCAGTTGAGGTGCCTAGATGTCCCACGATGGGGTCTTCACTCTGGGAGAAGAAAGGGTCCGATAAGCCTTTGCCCACTGTTCATACTGCCCCAGCCCCTGGACTCCCATCCCAACCTCCTGCACTGAGCTGCGTTCAGAGAATACAGAACCACTCTGGAAAGGGCCTGCATCTTGGCATCTCTCCTTAGGTCCCTGACTTACCAGGTCCTCCAGAGACACACGCTCAAACAGGGGGTGCCCTTCGAAATGGGTGCACATCCAGTCGTGTAGCTCTAGCACATCGGTTATGGTATACACCAGCCCCTGCATAGACAAAATCACCCGACACGGGCTGCATGCAACTGGGCAGCTAGATGATGGGAGTGGTGGTACAACCCCCACTGAGTTCTTAGTAAAGGGCCCTGAGTAGGCCACTCACCCCGTCCTCCCCTTCACCCCGACTCACCCCAACTCTCAGCACGTAGGCATATTCTGCCAGCAGTGTGGGACTGATGATTCGCCACTTGTGCTTCGTCCGCTTGAAATGTGGGTCAGGGAAGAGGAAGAACATCTTCGTCAGCTATGAAACAGACATGCACCGACAGGGTTGTAAGAGCCTGGCCGTTCTGCCCTACCTCCGCCTACCAGCCCGACCCACCAGGGCCCTTCCCCACCTGGCCCTTGCGGAAGAAGTTAGGAAGGTGCTTCATGGCATTACTACGGAGACAGGCGATGTTCTGGAAGCCACCTCCGGGAGCTGCGCGTAGGGCCCGAATCCGGTCTTGTACATAGTCCGAGACCTTCACCCGGATCTCCAGACCCAGAATCAGCGTGTCTGGGAACAGTGGTGACAGTGCCACTGAACACAGAAATAGTAATGGTGTCATCAACCTCATACTTGTAGCAAGTGAAAAGGGGTCAACACAGGAAAGGAAGCCTCCATCTGCAACTACCACAGCAAGTAACAGCAAGTAGGGGCAGAGATATGGATAGTTCTATGCTGAAGAGGCCAGGGAAGAAGAGAAACCAGAACTGGAAAGGAAGAGCCAAGAATACATGTATGTTTGCAATTGTTTTGGAGTTTCCACAGTGTCTTCACACATTGTCTCATTTAGCCCTTATAATACTCTTGCAAATTGTGAAGATGAAGAAGTCGATGGTCAGAAATGCCAAAAATCGTAGAGCTAAGAAGAGGTAGAGGTGGAACTTGAACCAAGGTTTTCTGCCTTGCTCTTACTATCAGGCTATCTGTATAGGGAGATCTAAAAATAGGGAGGTAGGCCAGGAGCAGCAGCTCAAGCCTGTAATCCCAGCACTTTGGGAGGCTGAGGCGAGAGGATTGCCTGAGTCCAGAGGTTTGAGACCAGCCTGGGTAACTTGACGAGTCCTTGTCTCTACAATAAATCAAAAAATAGCCAGGCGTGATAGCGCGTGCCTGTAGTTCCAGCTACTTGGAAGGCTGAGGTGGAAGGATAGCCTAAGCCTAGCAGGTCGAGGCTACGGTGGCTGTGAGCATGCCACTGCACTCCAGCCTGGGCGATGGAGACTCCAACTCAAAGAAAACAAATAGAAAATAAAAATAGGGAGGTGGCTTGGCATGCATGGCCAGAACAATACAGGCAATAGGAGAGGAACCCCAAAACATAAGAGGGGAACAAAAGGAATCAGGAATGAGGGAGGAGGAAGGGGCAGGGCAGTTGGTGGAATCCCTGAGAAAGACAGTTCAGGATCACTGGCCACAGTTGCTAATCTCTGACGCTTGTGCTGACCAGTTCACTGATCCGGCACCTGGCAGGTGAAATGGCTCACGCAGGGAATGAAGCTAGACAGGACAACCCAGGTTCTAAGAGGCGTTTGAGGCAGCCTCCTCCATTCTTCAGGGCAAAGGCCACAGACCCAGATTAGAGGGAAGGTGGGGGCTCGCCATGCTTATGTCACCAGTGTCTGGTCGAAAGGAGAAAGGCCAAAACCTGGTCCCCACAAAACCTGCTGAGATGGTAGAAACTAGGCCTCTCCTCACCCCAGAGGAAGGGCCAGAGTGTTACCTAACAGGCCACCATAGCCACAGCCTATGTCTGCAAACTCCACTTGGGCCTGAGCTCTCTTTTCTTTCTCATCCTTTGGGTCATCGTGGTTCTGATTTGGAGTGAGTGGAGCAAAGAACTCTGGATATAGCTCAGACCAGTCCATCTCCTCTGGCTTCACAGGGCTATTGGAAGGAAGACATAAGAAATGTGAGAAGGTTGTCATACCATTGCGTAAGTGGTACTGCGTGTGTGTGTGTGTGTGGGTGGGTGAGTGTGGGAGGTAGATGGGAGGAGGGATTCTCAAAAATTCTGCAACAGTGGGCCCTGTGGCCTCTAGGAGGCACAATGGAAACCACCCTTAACCCCCAGCGTGAATCATAGGCCCGTCTTGAGCCCCATGATTGCTGGTCGGCTTATCTCCACTTCTGGGAGTTGATGTAACACTGGCCGGCCAGCTCTCTTTTCTGAGGACAAGTTCCCCTTTTCCCAGAGACTGGTTGCCTAAGGCACTGGGATCCTACTTTATGTTTGCGCTCTGTGGGGAGAGGATGGAGTAAGGTGTGGGCCGGATTATGCACATGTCTATCTTTTTATTAAATCCAACAAAAAAGCCCGAAAGATGGAAACGACATTGCCTGCCACTCTAGTCTCAGTAACAATTTCTTTCTCTTTGCAGACCTGGCACCGCTACCCAGACTTAAGCCAGAACGCCACGCCCCTCCCAACTGGCCAACTCGCTGCCTGCTCTCCCGGACCCTCCCCCCAAACTGACGTCACCCAGGCCACCCTCCCGGGTCTACCCCAAATCCTCTCCACCTTCTCAGCACAGCCGCTCTTCCGGGTTGCTGTGGGGATCCGCCCCCCTCCCCACCCCTGCCCCGCTCGCTCACTAGCGCAGCGTGTGGTCAGCCATGGGGTTGGAGTGGGCACGCTGCCGGTAGTAGCGTTTCTGGGGCGGCGGAGCCTCCACCCCGGCTGCGTTTGGACTCTCGGCTCCCGCCATGATCCCGAGTTTCTCCACCGAATCCACGTGGAGACGAGAGCCCGAGGCGCGGGATGATGACGCAACGTGCGCCTTGTGAGCAGACCCCGCCCCTTAAAGACACACGGACAAATTCGGTTCGGCTCGGCTGGGCGAGTGCCGGAGACGCCTCCGCACCCAGGGCTCTCGCCCGCCTGAGGAGGCCAGACCCGGACGCCCAGCCTCTCCCCGGTTCGGGTTACCATCCTGGCTGCCGGCCCCTGTGTGTCCCACAGGTGAGAGGGGTCGGGGGACCCCGCCTCGTGCAGTGGAGCCAATCCTCGCCGTTCTCCCCCCTCCCGGTCTCGGACCGGTCTGCAGGGTCCCGAGCTGTGTCTTCCCGTGGGGGTCCCGTCGGGGATGCGCCCGGGACTGGACGGGGAGGCAGCTCCTCATTCCACCTCCGGGAAGTCAAACAGGGGAGAGGAGGGCACACGCGGGGAGGCGGGGCTCGAGCCTCGAGAAGGACGTGGCCGCCGCGGCCCCCGCCTCCACCCGCTGCAGGTCTGGGATCCGCGCGCGGGGCCGCGGGGCCCCGGTTCTGCCCCGGACGGATGGCGGACCCCGGCCCGGAGCCCGAACCAGAGCCGGAGTCGGTGTTCCCGCGGGAGGTCGGGCTCTTCGCGGACTCCTACTCAGAGAAGTGCCGCTTCAGCTTCTGCGGGCATGTGCTGAGCATCACGCAGAACTTTGGGTCCCGCCTCGGGGTGGCGGCGCGCGTGTGGGAAGCGGTGAGGAGGGGGCTGCTCCGGGCGGGGGTCCGCGGGGCGGCCAGACCCCGCACTCCGCTTCTGCCATATGGAGCCGTCCTCGAGACCGTCTTTTTCTCTCTCCCCTTCCTCCCCGCTTAGGCTCTGAGCCTGTGCAATTATTTCGAGAGTGAAAATGTGGATTTCCGAGGCAAGAAAGTGATCGAGCTGGGCGCGGGGACGGGCATCGTGGGGATCTTGGCGGCGCTGCAGGGTGCGTGAGCTGGGTTTGCGGCGGGAGGGCGTGGGGGCGGGGTGTGGAGGACCAGTCACTGCGTGGATTCTTGGGAAGGGTAGTGTTTTGGCACAGTCCAGTCCCTTTCTTTTAACAAACTTTTTTCTTTTTTGCGTCTGCCTCTTCTGTGTGCCAGATAGCACTAATTGGCTGTCACAATACCCAGGGTGATTGATTTGGGTGCAGGAAACAAACATCAGGCCTTGTAGAGGGAGTTGTTTCTGTTGGTTTGCTCTTTGCTCACGGAGAATAGGGTCACTTAGAATCGCCTTTGCTTTGGATATGGTCTTCTGTCAAAATGCACATATGGGAAGAGTGATCCGCAAACATTAAACCTGATGAGTACTTTATAAGTTTTTTATGAATATAGTTCAGATTCTTTAGGTTTTTATTGGTAGGAGAAGCAAGCTCATGAGATTCTGAGGGTTAAGGTGTGTTTGCAGGACTGGAATTAGATCTCGCAGACTTAGGAATAGAAAAGGTCAGGAAAATATTCCTTCTGTTTTGTCAAGAACCAGAAACTACAAAGGAAATAGTTCCTTAAGTTATAATTTAATGGGCAGACAAAACCTCACACTGGAAGCAGCCATTTAAAAATTCTTACGAAGTCACCTCCCTGGAATGCAAGTTAACATGTCCTTGTTCTTAGGGAAAGAATTAGGTCACATTAAGAGAAGTCTTCCCAGAGGCCAGCATTCAGTCTTCTAGTCATTCAACCAACATGTATTTCAAGTCCCCCGTGTGCAAGAATCATGCTGGGTATTGAGGATTCAACAATGAACTAGACAGATTTCCTCTCCTCAAGGAGCTTATGGTCTAGTGAGGGAGATGGGAAGATGTTCAGTATAAGAACTGTGGTAAGCTCATGGATTTGCACTGTCCATGTCTCCCTGGCGAATCCATCAATGGGAAGGTCTGTTGGGTGAGAAGGGGGAGGTCAGTGTCATCACAGCAGGCTTAGAAACAACAGAGGGAGTGTCAGCATCAGCTTTTTTTTTTTTTTTTTTTTTAACATAAAGTAGAAACTAACTTTATTTCTCTGGAAGAAGCAGGTATTGATAGCTGGGGCAGCAACTTTGGCGACAGAGGCTGGTGGGAAAACAGAACAGCACAGGGGAAAAGGAGGGGTCAAAGAGGAAGCACTGATGTCCCTCCGGGCAGCTGCCCCCTTGGTCCCCTTCCAACCCTGTGCATCAGCTTTTTCATGAAGGAGGGATGGTAAGAGGCAAGCAGTTATGCTAAAAAGGGGAGAAAAGGCTGTGAGCTGGATGGGAACACCTCTCTATACTTGTGTCCAGACTGGCTTCTCCCCCTTTCCCCTCATCCAGCTGCCAAGTCAGAAATCTGGGTGTCCTCTCCCTTCTCGTCCTCTCCCCTCACATCCCAGCAATCAGCCAATCCTAGGGGTCATGTGTTCTTTGTGTTTCCCCAGCTGTTCCCTCCTTTTTCCACCATCTGTCGTTCAGGTCACTGCCATCGCTTGCCTGGATCTTCACAAGAGCCTTCTAGCTTCTTCATGGGAGCTTAGGCATGCCCAGACTAGATCTTGTGATCCTCTCCCCTTACCCCCAAACCTGGTTTTCCTTCAGGTTTCCCTGTCTCACCGAAGAAAACCCCCATCCACCTGGTGGGAAACCTAGCCGTTACCTTTGGCATGTTGCTGTTTCTCACCCCCCCCATATCCATTATTCAAGTCTTCTTGATTTTCTCTCCTAGCAGCCTCTTGACTCTTCTCGTGTTTTTCTGTTTCCACTGACAGTTCCCTGTTCCAAGCTGCCTCCCTCACTTGTCTGGACTACTACAGTTAGTCCAACTGGTCTTCCTGCTTTGACTCCTTGCCCACTCCTAGATCTCTGCCCTCTCCACCCAGTAGCCAGAGTGATCTTTTCAAAATGCAACTGTAATCATGGCCTCCCATCCCAAATCTTTCTCTTTTTTTTGAGTCAGAGTCTCACTCCGTCGCCCAGGCTGGAGTGGTGTGGCACATTCACAGCCACCCCAGCATCAACCTGCTGGGCTCTGGCAATCCTACCGCCTCAGCCTTCCAAGTAGCACATGCTACCACACCCAACTATTTTTTGATTTATTGTGGAAACAAAGTCTCACCAGGTTGCCTGGGCTGGTCTCAAACCCGTAGGCTCAGGCAATCCACTCGCCTCGGCCTCCCAAAGTGCTGGGATCACAGGCTGAGCCACTGAGCCCAGCCAAATCTTTCTTTTTTCTTTCTTTTTTCTTTTTTTTTTTTTTTAAGTTGGAGTCTTACTCTGTCGCCCAGGCTGGAGTGCAGTGGCACGTTCACCGTCACCCCAGTGTCGACCTGCTGGATTCCAGTGATTCTTCCACCTCAGCCTTCCAAGTAGCCAGAATGACAGGCGCGTGCTACCATGCTCAGCTAATTTTTGGTTTATTGTAGAGACAAGGTCTCACCAAGTTGCCCGGGCTGGTCTCGAGCCCGCAGGCTTAGGCAATCCACTCGCCTCAGCCTCCCAAAGTGCTGGGACTACAGGCTGAGCCACTGAGCCTGGCCAGATCTTTCAATGGCTTCTCGTTGCTTTCAGGATAGAACTAACACCTTTGGCATGGCCTCCAGAGTCTTGCCTCTCTTTCTGGCCTCTGTCTATGCCCCATCTCCTGCCCCCCTTGGGCTCCCTATTACCCTTTGTCAGATCCTCAGAAATACCATTTTTGTTGTGGTTGAGTCGGGGGTCTCACTCTGTTGCCCAGGCTGGAGTGCAGTGGCACAGTCATGACTCACCGTAGCCTTGACCTCCTAGACCCGAGTGATCCTCCCATCTCAGCCTCAACCTCCCATCTGTAGCTCATGCCACCATGCCCAGCTAAATTTTTAATTTTTTGGTAGACATGAGATTTCCCTATGTTGCCCAGGCTGATCTTGAACTTCTGGGCTCAAGTGATCCTCTCTCCTTGACCTCCCAAAGTGTTGGGATTACAGATGTGAGCCACTGCACTTGGGCTTTCCTCAAAAATACCTTGATGCTCCTTTCCCTGGGGATTTCACCACAGGCCGTGCTTTCTGTCTGAAACCCTCTACCACCTGGTTAGTGCATGTGCACCCTTCATTGCTGAGCTCAAATACCACTTCAGAGGCCATCTTGACCCTCCCACCCTCAGCCAGCGTAGGCCCTCTGGTAGATACACAGCTGTAAAAACTGGTCTTGTTTGACCTTTTTTTTAGATTAGAAAATATAGTTTATTTAAAAACTAAATTAGAAAGAGAAAGAGGAGATTCACCTCCCAAGGTAGAGGAGGGGGCCAGAGCTTAAGAAAACATGGCCTGGCCATACCTCAAAGAACACATGGCCACCCATAGCATAGCAAGGCAATGACTGACTTTTTTTTTTAATCATGACCTCAAGTGGATCCCAGGTGCTTCCCAGCCAGCCTAGCATGTTCCCTTGTCCACTTCTTCCACTCTCCTAAACATCTCCTTACCTTCTTGTTCTTTAAACCTCCAAATGCCGCATGTGTCATTTTCACCCCAAACTGATGACTGTGCTTCCTGTCTCTCCTGATTGCTTCTATTTTCTCAGAAAACATCTGCGTGTTCCTGCCACAACATCTGCACACCTGCATCGATGTCTGTATGTCCGTCATCTCTCCTGTTACCATAGGGGAATACATCGGCTAGCTAAGGCCAAGCCTTCCACTTGTCACAAGATCCCAAACCTTCTCACGTCCTCAAAAACCTTATTCCAGCACCCCCCATCCCCACCCTGTCTCTCCTGCATTACTAGTTTTTCCTTCTTTCTGGACCATTGCATATATATATGGAATATAAATATAAATATGCTATCATTCCTCATATCTCAGAAAAAAACTTTTTTCTTTTTCTCTACATTTGAGATGAAAAAAGGAAAAACCCTTGATCCTCCGTCTCCCTCCAGCCACCAGCCCACTCCTCTGCTCTATATTAGAATGAAACTCAAAGAGTTATTCCTCACGGACTCTATTCCTCTCCTTGCCTCAGTCCAGTCCAATCAGGTTTGCCCTCCACGCTGTCCCCTTTTCTCTGGTTGCTCTAGTTAGGGCCCAGCTTTGTTGATTCTGCATTCGACACTGACACTTTGTCCCCTCCAACTCCATGCCCCCCCAACCCCACGCTTCCTTTGGCTCCAGGACACCACACTGCTGGTTTCTGCATACTTTGCTGGCTCTCCTTTTCCATTCCCTTTCGTTGGTTCCTTTTCATCTTCTCAGCTGAAAATTTGAGTGTTCTGGGGCTCCGGGGAAGTCTTTTGAGCCCCTCATGTTTCTGTCTGCACTCACCCCTGAGCAGCTCTATCACCTCATGCCCTTTGTTTTGCTGAAGACCCTGTGACTCTCCCATTTCTTTTTTTGAGTCAGAGTCTCACTCTGTCGCCCAGGCTGGAGTGCAGTGGCACGCTCACAGCCACTGCAGCCTTGACCTGCTGGACTCCAGCAATCCTTCCACCTCAGCCTTCTAAGTAACCAGAACTACAGGTGCGCACTACCGTGCCTGGCTAATTTTTTATTTATTGTAGAGACGAGGTCTTGCCAAGTTGCCTGGGCTGGTCTCGAACCCACGGGCTCAGGCAATCCATTCACCTTGGCCTCCCAAAGTGCTAGGATTACAGGCTGAGCCACCAAGCCACTTGGCTAATTTTTTGATTTATTTCTTTCTTTATTTCTTTTTTATTTTTTTTTTGAGTTGGAGTCTCACTCTGTCGCCCAGACTGGAGTGCAGTGGCCACTCCCGGCCACCTCAGCTTCGACCTGCTGGGCTCCGGTGATCCTTCCGCCTCAGCCTTCCAAGTAGCTGGAACTACAGGCATGCGCTACCACGCCCAGCTAATTTTTTATTTATTGTAGAGATGAGGTCTCGTCAAGTTGCCCAGGCGGGTCTTGAACCTGTGGGCTCAGGCAATCCACTCACCTCAGCCTCCCCAAGCGAGGGATTATAGGCTGAGCCACCGAGCCTGGCTAATTTTTTGATTTATTGTAGAGATGAGGTCTCACCAAGTTGCCCAGGCGGCCTTGAACCCCTGGACTCAGGCAATCCTCTCACTTCCACCTCCCAAAGTGTTAGGATTACAGGCATGAGCTACCACACCTGGCCGACTCTCCAATTTCTATCTCCAGACTCACTTGCATAACCTACTTCCCACTCAGCATCTTCATGGGGTTGTCTGATAGGAAGTGGATGTCCATCTGAACCTTCACGTGTCCAGAAACGAATCCATGACCTTCCAGTTCAAATCCATTCCTTCTGCTACCTTCCCTGTCTACGTGGATAGCAGTTGAGTCTTCTCATTGGTCAGGCCAACATCTGTGAACCATCTGAGCTGCCCTCACTCTCTCTGTGATATTTCATACCCAATCAGTTGACAAATCCTGTTGACCCCACCTTTATTATCTATCTAGGAACTGACTGCCTCTTAGCCATTGCTACTGCCCTGGTTTAAACCGTGCTCATCTCTAACCTGGTCTTCGCGGCCACCTTAACTGGTCTCCATGCTTCCGGCCTTGCCCTTCTGCAGTCTTTTCTCATCATGGTGGCCGCAGTGTTCCTAAGGCGCATGTCAGTGTGTGCCATTCATTTCTTCTTTTTTTTGAGTTGGAGTCTCACTCTTTGTCACCCAAGCTGGAGTGTAGCGACATGCTCACAGCCACCACAGCCTCGACCTTCTGGGCTCAGGTGATCCTTCCGCCTCAGCCTTCCAAGTAGCTGAAACTACAGATGCACACCACCACGCCTGGCTAGTTTTTGTGATTTATTGTAGAGACAAAGTCTCGCCAAGTTTCCCAGGCCAGTCTCGAACCCGTGGACTCAGTCAATCCTCTTGCCTCAGCCTCCCAAAGTGCTGGGATGACAGGCTGAGCCACCATGCCCAGCCAACTCTTCTTCATTTAAAACTCCCTCATAGCTTTCCAATTCACTCAGACTAAAAACTCAATTTCTTTTCTTTT